CGTGGTAGGTGCCACTGACACCCTACGCACACCCACTTCCCGATGGAAAGCCAAGTGCCAAGACTCTGGGATATGCTAAATAAGCCAAATAAGTACATGGTGACACTACATCACCCAGATTAGCAGGAGCTGGTCAGCTGTTTTGCATTTGCCACGCCCCTGTATTAGAAATCCAATTTTTAATGGGCGCACCATTTCTGTAACCAGCCAACAAACAAGTAGAATAGTTGTTATTGTGTGTATTGTCAGATGGAAAAGCTAAAAGTGGCTGACAATGGAGTGATCAACCCATTCGATGTATCCAATCCGAATAACACACAGGAAAACTACAACAAGTTCGGTATAATGGTGAAGTCGTGCCTCACTATTCCAGTGCCTAAATAACAAGTATAACAATTATAAAAATAAAAGTATATCAACTGTATCGAATACATCAACTTAAATATGATTTGCAATATACACGAATGGCATGTGATGCACTACACATACTATTAGATGGCAAAATTCGAACTTCAAGTAAGGAAGTATAAATTCTATTGGCCAGGGCAGCTAAAGTGTCAAAAATGTAAATAAGACTATATAAGACGACTTGAAATGTGGGGTAATATTAGCTACTATTGCCAGATCTTATTCAGAGCAGGTAACTTGGCCTTTTAGAATGACAAGTGTAGATACAAATAGAGAACTGATGGAATTTTGTTACTTTATTTGCCATTTAAGCTTTTCAGCAACGGAGCCAATATCAATAAAAGCAAATTATTCAGCTTGTTGAAGGAAACTGAGGGCCGCCGAAAAACGATCAAATAATCACACGCATAACATCTAATCACCATTGGCCCTAAAATCCGAATTGGCTATGATAAGCTACGATTATTAGCCGACATAAACGTAAGGAACAACAATATCAATTACTTGAGCACGGCTCATCCGCAGAAATCCGTATACTCTTCTCCCCAAGAGTGTAGACACGATGGTGGGAAGTGTGGCACTCTGCACCACCGACGCAGCACCACCCACCACCCACCACCCCGTCGATGTGTGGCACGCATGAATAGACAGCTGGCGAGCTTTGAAAGCGCATTCGCATTCACACTCGTGCTGGAAATCGCATTCTACGGCTCTGAGTTTTCACTCACTTCACGTGCAAAGTACTGCGAAAAAAAGCGCCATAAAACAGAATATGTTCGTAGAAAACAAAAACATAGGAAAACATAGGAAAAACATAGGAAAAGCCAGAGGAAGAGCAAAAAAATTGGTTCAATTTAGCGCAAAGATGGGAGGGAAAGTGGGGTTTACTTGGGGGACATGGGCCTATTGAAGAACCGACTCTTCAGCTGAGGAAAGCAAACAACGACAACTCGTTAGCACGAATTTCCAGCGGGTGGCATGGGGGGGTGGTGGGTTGGTGGGGTGGCCATTCGAATTGGCGGGGAGTGTCAACGCCTTTTAAATGGGCAGCTTTTTAGCTTTTTAGCATTTCAGCTCTTTTCGGCTACAATGGTTCTCAGGCGATGATGGAACAGGAAAAGCCACTCCACTCTACTCCACTTTGTTCTTTTTCTTTTTTTGGTCGCTGATGCTCTTTGGCAAATTTTCATAAACTCTTATTTATTTTTACTGCACAAAAGAAAATGTTCTACCAGCCAGCCAGCCAGAGGAGGAGAAAAGAAGTTGCGAGCATTTTCTGCTGCTTTTCGGTTGCTCATTTTCGGTTTGCTGGCGGAAGTGAATTGGCACAAAAAATAATAGGGAACATGTTTTGCGCTTTTGACCAAAAAGTGCCAGCCCAAATAGAAATGTTTATACCAACCGAAAAATAAACACTGCTTCAGGAAGAATTCAGCTTATGGAGTGCGAATTGTGCATAAGCCAACTTAGCAACAGCAAGATGCCAGCACATTTTGTATTTACATAAAAACAAATGACCAGCATTTTGTGTTTGGGGTCGCTACTTTGTGAGCCAGCAGTTGGGGGAAATCCAGGGCCAAAGGCCGAGATGGAAAAAGATGTTCGCAAATGAGAAGTTACGAACGGGGTTGTAATTATGCGGCACTTTTCGATGCAGATGCAGCCTGATAAGTATATCTATATATAGGTGCGCAGCCCGGCGAGGAATGCAATTTTCTTGGGAAAAAGCTGCGAGCATGAGGTGGCAAAAGTGTGCTGCTTTTTTGGGCGCTACCTGGAGTGGGCTATATCAAAGGGTAGCACATAGTATGAACTAAAACCAAAGCGATTTATTTGGTAAGAGGCATTTGCTTATCAACTTGAGTTCTCGTTCGATTCCCCGCCCCTTTGGAAAGCGCAAAATATGAAAGGGCAAGCCCCGTAATAAGGTGAGCACTTGGGCCTAAGGACGCTCGGAGTCCGTCCAAATGGAGCACATGCATCACATTGGCTCTCCGGCTCGCTCTGTTCTGTTCTGTCTGGGACCAGAGCCAAATGCGGTCAGTTAGCAAGCTGAAGAGCTGCCTCATGTAGGCTAGTACCAACATCATATGCTCTTTACGGCTCACAGTGCTCGTACGCAACCCATAACCCGTTCGTCATATAATTTGCACTCATTTTTTAACTCTTCTGCGTGCTTTTTGCCGCTTTTAATCAGAGCAAGTGGCTACTATGTGCTGGCCGAGTGGCAGTAGTTGGGCAACCGATTAGCTTGGGCTTAAGCCCAAGTAAGTTCAATGCACTGCAATTCAGTATGCCGGTGAAGGATTTACTATACCCGTGCTCGTATGCTGAAAAGTTGTGTGCTAACACATTTTAGCTGCGGCATTAAGCCAAATCGGGTTTTAAGTCCACACTGTTTGCCGAGGTTTTGCAGCCTTAATTCAATTTGCCTATGTAAATCGTCTGCGGATTATAAAGCTGGCGTACATATGGACGGATATCTCGGCGACTACAAGCCCAATGTGGGTAAAAGAGATTTGTGGATTCCGCACTCTCCTCCGGCGCCTCAAGCCACATCCTCAATTTTCCAGTTGTGCCACAAAAAGAAGCGAGAAAAAACAGTGTGGATGCGAGTATCTGCGGGCATGAAACTAATTTCGTAGGTTGGTGAATGAAAATTTTTGGAGTGTGCCCGGGCAGGTGTGTTGCGTCTTTTAGCAGCTTGCCAACTTCGCTTCCCTTTTTTATTATTTTATTATTTTTGTATTTTTTGCCCCTTGGCCAGCGGTTTCTTGGCGCTCTTTTGCCTTTTGCAGCTTGGTCTGTATTCACTTTCGACGCGCACATTTGTATCCTGCATTTCTGTATACACGTACATGCAAGTTCATCAAGTGGCAGGTGCTAATAATGCCACAAGGAAGTTGGCTCCTTGCAATGATATTGCTAAGCTGTCAGGGATCTTTTGGGTTTCATTTCTTGTTTGCCCAATAAACTTTCAGTGGCAAGTGCCTCACTTCTGCGAAGATTTTCTTCATTTAGCAAGACCATTTGAATACATTTCAAAGAATTGCGCGGCTTAAATCTTTAGTTGGTGTTGTCACGCACCATTAAAGAAACACTATTTTATATAATGATGATTATTGCTTAGACATGAACACTTTTCCTGTAATTTGTGCTCGATTTTTAGCGTCGCTTACTATTTTCACACCGCCACTTCACAGCTCGATGATCAAACATTTTCAATGCCCAATAATACATTCGTCCTGCAGCATTGGAACATTAAAGATAATAATGCTCGATCTTTCGAATAAATAGTCTACTCTTCTCTATACTAAGTAGAGCTAGCAAACCAGCAAAGAATAAAAAAATATCTTTGGTCAAATACAATAAAATCTCGCTTCATAAAACAATCATTGAATCTTTGTCGTAGCGCCGCTGCCTTTTCTCCTTCCCGAACTCACAATACGCTAATGAAGAATTTTGAACGCACACTAATAAATTCGTCATGTAGCATTAAATAAAACAAACATATGAAACCAGAGATACAGATACAGGCAGTGGGTAGATGCAGCCGTTGAATGCAACATGGACTCTTAACACTCCACAATTAACACTCGACTTGTGCACGAATTTGAAACGGGAACTTTTAACTTGATACAAATTTGAAATGCAAATAGTATTCAATTAACAGATGAACAAATACCGACAATAAAACTCAAACTATGCGAGACAAAAGCGCCAACTTTGTCATCCCAGATGTGGAGGTAAAAATAATTAAAAAGCAAAGGAAACAATGTTTGTCAGTTAAAGTGCCGGTCCGGTTCGGCTTGGTCTCCTCACCTTTCCACTCTGCAACTTCCTTCCCGCCACGAAGTGATGGCAAAAATTAAATTATGTGTGCCACAAAGTTCGCCTGAATTATGTCGCATAAATCAAATAAACAGCAGCCGAAGCAGGCGGAAAAAATAAAAGTTGAGGCTGCAGAAATTGTTGAGGAAAATAACTGAAACTGTGAAAAAATTTATACGAAAAACTTTTTGCATGTAAAAGCTTGGTAGCTGGCTAACTGGGTGGCTATATGGCTGGATGGCCAAAAGGAGGGCTTGTGGCGCTTGGTGGGCGACCCGTGTGTTAAAGCAACACTTGGCTGTGGCAAGAAAATTATTCTCTACATCTATTTGTTGTGTGGCAAAAACCGCAGGCAGCAGCAACAGCAGCAACCGCCGCAGTTGCCGTTGACTGGGTAAGCGAAAAAACAAGTGTTTAAATGTCAACGGCAAACAAACTAAAAATCGCTGGCAAAAACCAAGCAGCCAGCAAGCAGACAAAGGAGTATCTAGACATAAAGCCATGCTGCTATCCCCCTCCAAGTCGCACAGCACATTTCATATGAAAAGATACGACTGCCACTGGAGTCTCCGTCTCCAAGAGACTCATCTTCCTTTTGTGTGCTTGTGTTTGTTGGCCCGGGCGCAAAATGTCATGAACTTTTGCCGCAGACATTTTGCAAGCGGTCATCTATGAGCTACATTCGGATTTGGATTCGTACTCGGATGCGGCGGCTCATATGTTTTCAATTTTTCAATTTTTACTATTCGACGATAACTCACCCAAGAGCACGGCAAATGTCAGAGTTATCCAAAACTGCATCTTGTAGGTTGCTTTATTGTTGGAATTTGTTGTAGGCTTGCGACACACTCACTCACTCACTCACTTTAACTTGTTTACAGACTGTTATGTTTTGTATCTTTCGGGTTAATAACAAGCTCCAGCCAATTCTAGGCTTGGCCGCACTTTGCAAGGCATTCTGCAGAACATATTTTTCAAGCACTTATTTCTCACTAGCAGTATGTGCGAACTGTCTGCGCTTCCATAAATATCCATCAAGTATTTATTTATTTATTTAGTTACTCGTAATATTTTCGTATGTTTCGGCGCAATAGCTTTGAACTATAAACTCGCTACTGGGGAGCCACACCAATGTTTGTCAACAGAGACCACGCGCAGACCGACCAAGACTAAACGCAAAGTATCTGTATCTTTTAGCTGACAGGTCCAAGCGCGGCTCACAAGAGATTGAAGCGAACTCGAACATTGGAACCCACTGCAAAACGTTGCCATCGAACTTATACAGCTTTACTTAGAGAACAAACATAGTAACAGGTTCATGTCACCGCTGGAGCAGACATATAAGATCAAACATACGATTTATAAGTAAGCGGTCTTATATTTTTTTATATTAAATAATCACGAAATATTTCAGAAATACAAACTTGCTTAGTCAAGCTAAAAAAAAATTACAGTTTCCAGCTTCAGTGACTTTTTTTGTATTTATTTTACAATTTGCCTATGTACATGCCTGGTATCTAAAACCATTTGGATTTTTGCAGCCCGCACTCGTATCTTTTAGACCAACTCGACATCGTTTTTCCCAATCCTTCGTGAAATAATCGTCCTTTCTCTCACAGCTTTCACTGCTTCGGCGCCAGAGAGGTTTGCGACTCTGCTAATTCTGCAGAAGGACTCTTATAAGGATATTTCCTCATATGTTATGTATATGGCTGAATTGGATTTCGAAGAGTGGCGCCACCAAATATATTATAATCGCATACATATTAGAGCTGTATAAGCACCGTTTTCGAAGCTGAATCCATTGTAGAAGAGGTAGGGCATATAAGAGCGGTATAAGAGTTTTGTATACGAGCTGGACTTAGCAGAGTCGTATAAGTTGGACTTTAAGATAATATTTGAGAGTGGGCTTCAAACTTTTTCGAAGTGTTTGTTGTTGTCTCGAGTGTTGGGCTTTTGGTTATGAAAGTAAAAGTATTTCAAGAGCTGCGGGTGTGCGGCGCAAACTTCATTGAACAGCCAGCAAAAACAAAAATGTATATCCTAGAAGTTTTCGACTTAAGTGAAAGTGCCAGCAATGAGATGAATTAGAAAAAGTTTATGCCGGCTGAAATATTTGAGTAATAGGAAATGAATTGACCGAGATTCCGGATTACTTAGAGTCGGTATCAAAAGTTATGGGGCAGTGCGAAAACACATTCAAACAGCTCATAATCCAGTTAAGATTGGGGTCGAGAAATAATATTATATATAGAAGGCAATCTTAAATCAGTCAGTTTTGGGTACATTTAATTAAATTCGGCTTAAACTTTGCCAGTTGGACAAAATGTTAACAGGTCATCAACAAGTTAAACATTTAAAGTCGAACAGTGTTCCGCACTTTGGAAATTCGAATTTCGATTGGGGTAACAAACAGAAATTGACATGCACTCTTATGGTCGAATATCTCTACCATATGATATTTTCGCATGCTGGATTTTATTTTCAAATTAATTAAATACCTCGCACATCTCGAACAACACAAATCGCAATGCACTCGAGTTTTGCTTTTGCAGCTGATGAATCGCAATAAAATGCACTTCAATGCGAAAACAAAAATCGTTTCTGAAAAATTGAAGCCAAAGCAATAGCCCCTCCTCGACATCGGTGGAAAAAATAGCAAACAAGCTGGAAAAGAATCAACAAATATGTTTGTTTGCCTGTGCATCTGAATAATAAAAGTACTACGCCATCGAGGTGCCAGGGAAATATATCAAGGGCGAATACCTACCTCATGTTTCGAGCAATCAGAGATGGTTTATGCAATTATTTAATAAAAATTGCCAGCTCTTATAAACCATTTACGAAAGTGCAGTGCACAGGATTTATTACTGCAATACTACTGTGTTAATATTTGGTTGATCGAAACTGGAAATATATTAGTATTACCTAGAGATAGTGAAGGTACCCGATGATAAGTGTTTGATACTCTTATAGGCCGATTATCATACGTCCATGAGGACGGATTATGATTATGATTCTCTCGACATTTGATGTGTGAAATGGGCTGGCTAAGGACAGAATATAGCGTACAGATACAGGCTGAATAATGTGGTGGCTCAACTAGTGCACAGCCTGGCTTTATTAATGGCTCATAATGACTTAAGTGAAATTACTGAAGCGTAACTGGCCGTGCTCGTCGCTATCGCACCATCTCCCTCACTCAGCCGTTCGTGCCATCTCTTTTCGCCTAGCTGGCCCATTTCAGCTGCAACCATAAACGGCGAGAATTCCCACGCGGCATTTAATATTCTGTTGGCCGAGTAAATTTTACCCCGTCCCGTGAACCGACCAAACCCACCCTCCGCCGTTTTGACCCGGCTAACATGTTGCTTCTTCCTCCTTGACGTTTGTTGTTGCTGTTGGTGTTAGTGCCGCTGTGCAAGTTGTTAAGGTCAGTTCATATATTATGCTTTGCCGTGGAAAAGGTGCCATAAGTCTGCCACCATGTGCAGGGTGGTATACAAGTAGTTTTCCCCCAAAGCCTTTGTCTCTTTTCACTTTTCTCGTCTGTGCTGTTCCGTTCTGTTCCGTCCATGGGGCAACTGTTGCCTACTTTTCCCGCTTTTCCATTTGCCCTTCCGCTTTTGTTCGGCTCCCTTTGGCCTGCTAATTAAGCGAAATTTTGCGTAATAAGCTTGTCTGTAATTTGCGCCATCTTTCTGCCTTTTCTTTTCTGCCATTTTGTGCTTACGTGCGTGTGTGCGTATTGCCATTTTCCTTTTGGCCATTCTACGGTTTTGTTAACTGTCATCAAGGTGTTCATTGACTTTGTTATTATACCTCAATGAATTTCGTACAGATAGATGGCAGACAATTTCGGCACTGACTTCCCAGGAAAAGTTACTTAAGCTCGAGTTGTTCTACGTCCATCGGTTAACTGGGCTCCCAATTACGTCTATGTACGATAAACTAATTACAATTGATTAACAAACCAAAGCAACCCACATAAGGAACCCATATTGGAATACTGCATAATCTAGCACTTAAAACACATTAGAGGCAAGCGATTGGAGTTAGAATAAAGTCACTAATGCCTGAATTGTGGTTAGGTATTAACTGATCAATATGCTAATTAATAAGGCTGCAAATACTTTGTTATAATTACGAAGGAGCCAATTGGTTTGAGAGCAAAGGTAGCAGGATATATAAGTGATTTATAATTAGGTAATCATTCATGTTTTGCAAGCAAAAAGGTTTTAATACTTAATTGGCTTAAAGACCCAAAAATCGCCGAAGAATAAATGAAATTAGGTTTTTCTTGCGCAAAAAGCATTTTCCAGCTCCACGCACAGTGAACCCAAATCCGAAAGATACTCAAATGCACTTCAATTCCGAACCAACAGCTCTCCGCTAATTTGTGTGGCTCAAATACCTGCGCCAATGTTTGCCACTGATAAGAGCGCATTATTTACGCTACGCCTAACTCGGTACACGCATAATTTCATCAAAAATTCACACCGCCAGACAGGAAGAACAGGACGAAAAAATTATGGAAAAAAATAATGCAGATCGCTGGGCACAAGGCGAAAACAAAAAATGTACATAATCATATTGTGAAATTTTTAACACCTGCTGCTTGTTGTGGTTGCGTTGCCCTGCCATTTTTATCTGCTGTTAGTGGATATCAAGCGAAATAATAAAGGCATTATTTACACAGGCGAGGCAACAAAAAGCCAAAATGTCATTACACACACACACACACACTCAGGCGGCTGAGTTGTGTTGGTGTTGTTTCAACACATGTAAACAAAACCATTGAATTAAACCGAAAATTAGCATCGATTTAAGTCAAGACCGGCGTATTATCCCCCTGGCTCACCTATGTGACCCCCAAGCCCCCCCCCATGCCCACCAAAAACTCGCCACGACTTAGCGCGCTTATCAGTTACGCCAAAACCCGAGCAAGAAACACAAACCCCCTAACCACCGCGCCCAGTTGGCTTTAAACAAATTTTGAGCATAATTTAAACATGTGTTGCCAGCCCGCCGACTACCAAGCCGCCTACGTGGTACACGCTGCGTATGCTTAATCCCTTTTAATCCGCATTTCGGCGACGTGTGTGTGCCTACATAACCCCAAACAGGAAAACAGGAAAGCAGGAGGAGCCGGAGAAAGACAACAACAAGGACATCCCCTCGCAGCCCCAACAACAACAGCAGCAGCAGCAGCGAAATGCAAATGCAAATCACGCCGCAGTCACTGATAAGGTGTCCTGGTATCTCCAAGCCAGAATGTCCTCGTTACGCCCCTTTTTTCCCCTTTTTTGCGCATTTTCAAGTGGTTTCGCGACTCGGCGGTCCCAGATGTCAGACCACAGAGATCCTTGATAGATGCGCAACAACTAAGAGCCGAATGGCAATCTGTAAACTGAAAATCACACAGGTTGCCTGTGTATCGATGGCGAAAGTTGGGCCAAAAGTGGGCACTTATCACAAGCAAATATTTGTGAGTATAAGATGCCAGCCGAATAAAATGGTGTAACATCGAGTACGGAGCAGTATAACATGATAACTGATTGGCTTTTGGTAACAATTATAGTTAATATTGTATGCATAGCAGCTGTAGAAAACAGTAAGTACAACATTTAATTAACTGAAAGCCTCAGTGGGCAAGTAAAGGTATTTAGCTGACGAATGCATCTCGTATTTAAAGTTTGCCTTTTCATCCGTCTGTCTAAAATCAATGGAGGGGAAAAGAAATATGCCTTTTCTTACCCTTTTTCGAGCAATCAGCTTTTACTTTGCTTTGACGCACTGACAACTTGAATGGGGACTTGCAACTAACATTTTACTCAGTTGCATTCAGTTGGCAAATTTAATATGTGCAATATTAATTTTCATCATAAAAAAGACTTTTGTGAAAGATATGGATACATTCTCTGGCCAAACGTCATAAATGTTGCACGTGTAGGACACAAGAAGCCGGAGAATGGAAATGAATTGAAATAAAATGAAATAAAATGAAATGTAAGCCCAAAAGTAGCAAACCGTTAAGCTCTGGACGGCTAACAAAGGAAGGGCCGAAAGCAGTTACACAATTTATGCATGGCTAACCCCCCAATGCCCCCCACCAACAAAACATTTTGTTGCATTCAGCGCCATCTTAGAGCGGCACTCGTCTGCCTATTGTAAATGCAACTTAGAATTTGTTGCAAATAAAGTGAAATGGCAACGGCTGCTAGAAAATTCCACATCCACATCCACATCCCCATCCGCACTCATCGCCAAAATACAGGGCCAAAAAAGAAGAAAGCCAGAGAGAAGGCAAAAAATTGGCAATTTAACATTTGACGTTTTCTACGAGACTTGTTCAAACAATATACTTGGGAATTTGTTTTAATGCTCCAACGGGGATTGAGTGGAGGGGGTCGGGGAGGGGTCAGCAGGGGCAGCGGGGGCAGGGTTACTTTCCAGCTTTTCTCCGACTTTCCTCAGCTTGTTCGGCGCAGCCCGAGGACGCTGCAAGTTGCAATAATGGCTTTAAATTTTTATTAGATGACGACGCTTATGCGCCTTAGTTGCCTACAGTTGCCTACAGCTCCTCGCATTCCTGGAATCCTCGCCTCCTCGAGTCCTTGCATCCTTGCATCCTTGCATCCTGAAATGCTGAAATGTTGTTGAGAGTTTCAGCGCGGATATGTGTGTGAACAGTGTGCATGGCAGTCGCGCTGTTCACGTCGCACTGGCCACGTGTTCAGACACACTTATGTGTATATTAGTAGCCAGGAGGTGTGAAAGGAGCTGGCACAACATGCAGTGGACGCTCGACCTGTTTATGTGTAAGTATGTGCACTAATTACCAAAAATGGGGTAAATAAAAAGGGCAGCAAGTGCAGCCTTTTTGGAAATAATAAATATTAAATAAATAAGTACAGCGAGTCTGTTTCAGTTTTGGTTCTTTTGGGTATAACTTATGCTTTCACAGGTACAATAAAAAGATGCATCTCTTTGTTGACTTACTTATTTGTTATAGGTTTGCCCATCAACAAGGAAATGCCTTAAATGTGAGTATAGTAGGCATAATAGGTTCATAGTTACTCTGGTTTCATTTCACCCAATTTAAAGCATACTTTGCAGAGCGTGTATTCCCCAAGTTCGCCATTTGGCAACTGCAACAAAGCGAATTAAAGTGATTGTGCGAATGCCAGTTCACTATGGGGAAGTTGACCTGTTTTGTTGGCATAAATTAATATATCGTAAACTATTTATGATACGATACCCACCTAAAACAAAAAAATATTTTTTTTACTCAATATATTCTTCAGTATCTATTTTAACGTTAAAAACTAAGTCATATTTATATATGAAGATCATTCAAACATTCGCACGAGAACAATTAAGTGACTGCTTTAATTTAGAGGTGATATTATGGGGTCCGAAATTTTCAATCCTCTGTGAAACACATTAGTAAAGTGGAATTCAACTTTGCTTGGAATTCAACTTATTTTGAAGAAACTTTATCCAGCTTTCTATTGCACATTTCCCATTTATGCAATAAATTCACACAAAGTGTGCGCGGTTTCTTCCATACGTGACTTAATTAATTTCAAAAATGCTGTCGTCGATATGCCCACAAATAAATTTGAATATTGCATTCAGCTTTTCACAAGCTAGCGTGCGCCACACAAAAGTCAAAAATTACTATTGTTCGAATGGGGAATTAATCACTCTAAAACAAGAGCTAACACACCTGTTCAACAAATTTCAACAATTTTTTAGCAAAAACATAAAGTACACATTTAAAGAATGACTATACATTGCAAATATGATTGGTTTAGGCCATGTGGTAGAAAAGATATGAATTTTAGTAGGCATTAAAAAGTGAAGCTCACCGACAACTGACTTTACAGCTGTTATTTTTTAACATTAAAGTGTTAATTTAACGTTTCCGTTGCATAACATAAACATATGATCAATTATAAATATAAATATTTGCATTTTTGGCCAACAAACCAGGTCAAACACCCATAGTGCATTTAGCTAGAGGCCCCTGAGCTTATGCTAGACTTTATTTAATGCGGCTGTTGCCTGTCGCCTAATTCGCATAATTACGCGCTTATTATTTTTGCCAACTGTCGCTGTATCCGTGTCTCTAGCCATAGCTGTATCTGTATCTGCAGTTGTATCTGCATCTGGGCCCGCTCCGCCTGTGTATCCGTCTCCCTCCGGCGGCCTGTTGCTATCTGTTGCTCCCACTTTGCGAGTGCGTAATTTTATTTAGCTTTGCGTGCAGAGCTGTAATTGTGTTATTTGCTTGATTTTATTATTTGCCCCAGGCCGCAGGCGGCAGGCGGCACAGCCGCACCTAGCGGCCATAATTAACCAAATAAATAAAACAGTCGAATTGGTGGGTCGAATTCGCGTTTATCTAGGGCTTACTATGGGTTTGCTGGATAACTAATACGGCAGCATCGGCACTCGCATACAATGTTGTCACATTTTTTAGCTGACTATTTGCCATTTGGCCCGCGGTGTTTGTTTTGGGGTTTTTAATGTCCTGGCCTGCAGGGACGAAAGCAAATTAAATGGCTGTCAAATGTTGTTTTATTTCAGCTGGGTGGCTTTTTGTTTGCGGAACTACTTATTGGCATGTTTGCGAATTCGGTTTCGCAAATTCAGTTTGCTTGTTTTGGCACTGCCATTATGAAGTTGTGAGCATAACTAATTGAAAAGTTTTTTCTACGGCATTTTGCTGGCGTATTTTTAGCTTGGTCACAGATTTATTCTATTCCATTTCTCTTCAAGGTTCCTGCTAAAGTCATATTCAAGACTTGGGAATGCATAAAAGATTATATACATCTTTTGGACTGCCTGTAGACCATGGGATATCTTTAAATTTGAATATTTTTTATAGCCGTTACTCGTAGGGTAAAGGGGTATACCAGATTCGTAGAACAGTTGGTAACAGGCAAACTACTAAAATGCAAAACCTTGCCTAGAATTCAAGGCGTTGACAAATGTGAGCTAGCCATAAAACTCAAAACGTGCCTAACAGCAAACTTAAATGATAAGGAAATCATTCAATGCGCATATATGTATAAATTTGACTTTAAAAAGTTTTCTAAATATTCACTTTCATTTTGTTTGAATACCTAGGAAATTCACTGTTTCTGCAAACTTGAACGACAAAGTAATCGTAAAAATCTATAATTGTGGCAACTTATTCGATGAGACGTGCGCCAAATCCTATATATAAAAGATTCCTGCTATGAAGTTGACTATTCAAAATCAGTCTCCAAAATGAATAGGTTGTTTGTCGTGACTTTCTTGCTGACCATCGGTCTACGATCGGTTTTTTCTTATGATGTAAGTAATAACAATATTTCATAAATCCTCAAAATTATTTATGCTTTTTATTCACTGCCAGGAGGATGTTGTAAAAAAGTGCGAGAGAAAGGTTGGATGGACCCCAGAAAACGCCAGTAAGAAAAGCAATTGCTACAATCTCTGTGTACTTGAGGAGCACAAGGTGGTTGTTGATGGAATGGTCAGAATACCCGATAATATACCGCAGGCAAAAACTTGCGAATCCTTGCAAACCGACAAAAATGACAAATGCAAGCTCGCAGCCGATCTTAGAACGTGCCTAGCGGCAAACACAAATGATATGAACAGATGGAAGTTTTATTATCTTTATTATCATTAAGAAATGGTTTTCAATAGAAAGCTCGTTTTCACTTCAAAACTTGTTTTCTAACATTGTTACAACTTATTCGTTTTGTTCGAACACTTATAAAATGCCCCTGTTTGTGGAAGCTTGATCGAATTCGTATTCTTTCCTCCTATTGTATTTCCTCTTTATCAATAATGGGCAATATTAAAAGTTCACCATATTAAGGTTTCAACAATCGTGGAAATTAATAAATTCGATGAGATGTCACCTTATAACTAATAACTTATAACTTAATAACTTATTTTCTAAATCTTTTTATGCCCGTTACTCGTAGAGTAAAAGGCTATACTAGTATAAAGTATATATTTTTTTGATCAGGATTAATAGCCGGCCGTATGAACGTCCAGATCTCTGAGACTATAAATTATATATTTGGAAATATATTATATTCGGGGGGAAATATTTATTGAATGAGAGCTAAAGATAATTGGGTACGCATTGTCTTTGGGAATAATTACTTGATTCAGTTGCGCATAACAAGGCTTCAATCACAAAGCAACCGGGCTTATGGAAATTAATTTAATCACTTACCAAACATTGTTGAAGTCAAACTTATTGACGGCTTTGGGCCCGAAATCGAATTGCCTCCGACAGGAGCAGTTTTACCTGAAGGCCCTAAATGCCGCAACGCCAATAACCGCAGCAAATTACATTTATTTAAGTTCCAGCACATCAAGCGCTTAGCCCTCCCGCCGCCCAACGGGCCATTACTCAGGCAGATAACCTTGAGCAACAATTGCCCATCTAATTCACTCAGCTGCGCACCTGTTCTCCAGTTCACCAGCTCACCAGCTCTCCAGCTCTCCAGCTCACTGGTTACCTGCTAGCTGTTGTCTTGGCCCACATCACCTGGCCCTCTTCGCGGCGACGTCATGATTGGCATCATCGGCATCGGGCGACTTGGACTGCCGGCGGCTCAGTTAATGCTGTCTGATTTCATTAGCGCTGCGCAGCTCTCCTCACCTTTTCTCACCTGCCGGCCAAGTGGCGTATTGTCACATCTCCGTTCGTCTTTGTTTTTGGCCTTAACACTCGCGGGTGCGGCGGGGTCAAAATGGCCCTGTGACGTATTTGAAGCCAAAAGAGTTGCTTTTACATCTAATGTTATTGGGTAGATCAACGGCAATTTTACAAATCATAATATTTAATTATCATAATGTAAAAACCAAAAGAGTTTTAATTTTCTTAAAGCTTAAAAGGAAGCAAAGAGGCCGGAATTGAATCGCATGTTGAGTAATCACAACAAATTGTAATTATCCATTACATCAATGTACGCATTTGAATAATGTTAATGAAAAATACTTAAATATTCTTGAAGCACACAATAATTGTAATCTACCCACAGTGTAATGATAACTTTTGTATTATTTTGTAAAATAGCATAATTGGTATTTTGGATCTGCGCTGTAGCGCCACAATTAAATAATTATTATAAATTCATAACAAGCTACCGAAATGGCCGCACTGTTGGGTTAATAAAAACACGTGTAATTTATCTCTCGCTCTTTCGTTTTCATTTTCGCCCATCTGGTTCGCACGCCAATTAACCCACCGAGTGGCAAGTGTCCCGAAACCACCCCCGCCCCCCTCGGGCGTTTTACATGAACTTGAATGAGGTTATTGGTATATTATTGGTTTTCCTTCTCCTGTTGATATTGTCGTCGATGCCATAATCGCATTTGTATGCCGCTCTTTATGGCCATGTATTTATTTATTTCGGCATTTTCCCACCCATACCCCCCACTGGTTGCGGCTAATTTGCTTTTATTATTCGCGTTAAATTTTATGCTGTCACTTATGGATTTTTCTAATAAAATGTCGGAAGCACAAATTGAGACTTGCTTCGACGCTGCGAATTAGCCGAAAGTGTTTGCTGTGTCGTGCATTTTAATGGCCAGTTTGGGAAGAGCCATCTGTTCCTACTTCATTCGATTTCCTCGGCGATTCTAATGAACCGTTTCGATGTTTTTATACGGCCTATTTAAGACGGAGCAAAAGCCAATTTAAGTTCAATATAATAAAAGTACACTTTTTATACCCGTTACTAGTAGAGTAAAAGGGTAGAAGGAAGCTCCTCCGACCATATAAAGTATATATTCTTGATCAGGATCAATAGCCGTCTCGAACTGGCCATGTCCGTCCGTCTGTCCTTATAAACGGCTCGATTTCAGGAACTACAAAAGCTAGAATGCTGAGAATTAACATGCAGCTTCCAGAGAAATAGACGCAGGGCAAGTTTATTGTCCAAATATTGCTACGCCCACTCCTACGCCCACAAAACTGCCACGGCCACATTTTTACCGATATTCCAGAAAATTGTGAAATTTCTTTTGCGCACTTCCACTAGCTGAGTTATGGGTATCTGAAAGTTGGGGAACTCGACTATAGCACTACATTTTTTTTTTATTTTTTTTTGAATTTTTTTCATGTTATGATGTAGAAATTCAAGAAAAGTGAGAAATGCCCCTAGGCTGAAGTTCTAAGCTGCATAACTCAACTTATCTTAATCGGATTTTGAAGTGGCATACCTCTAAATGTTTCTGGAGCAATTCTCTAAAAATCTGCATTCAAATTTGGAAATATATTTTTTTTTGATTTTTTTGTCATTTTTCTGATGTAGAAATTCAAGAAAAGTGAGAAATGCCCCTAGGCTGAAGTTCTAAGCTCCATAACTCAACTTATATTTATCGGATTTTTAAGTGGCATACCTCTAAATGTTTCTGGAGCAATTCTCTAAATATCTGCATTCAAATTTAGAAATTTATTTTTTTTTTTTGGTTTTTTTGTAATTTTTTTGATGTTATGATGTAGAAATTCAAGAAAAGTGAGAAATGCCCCTAGGCTAAAGTTCTAAGCTCCATAACTCAACTTGTCTTAATCGGATTTTGAAGTGGCATACCTCTAAATTTTTCTGGCGCAATTCCCTAAATATCTGCATTCAAATTTGGAAATATATTTTTTTTTGATTTTTTTGTAATTTTTCTGATGTAGAAATTCAAGAAAAGTGAGAAATGCCCCTAGGCTGAAGTTCTAAGCTCCATAACTCAACTTATATTTATCGGATTTTTAAGTGGCATACCTCTAAATGTTTCTGGCGCAATTCTCTAAATATCTGCATTCAAATTTAGAAATTTATTTTTTTTTAACTTTTTTGTAATTTTTTTGATGTAGAAATTCAAGAAAAGTAAGAAATGCCCCTAGGCTGAAGTTCTAAGCTCCATAACTCAACTTATATTTATCGGATTTTTAAGTGGCATACCTCTAAATGTTTCTGGAGCAATTCTCTAAATATCTGCATTCAAATTTAGAAATTTATTTTTTTTTTTGGTTTTTTTGTAATTTTTTTGATGTTATGATGTAGAAATTCAAGAAAAGTGAGAAATGCCCCTAGGCTAAAGTTCTAAGCTCCATAACTCAACTTGTCTTAATCGGATTTTGAAGTGGCATACCTCTAAATTTTTCTGGCGCAATTCCCTAAAAATCTGCATTCAAATTTGGAAATATATTTTTTTTTGATTTTTTTGTCATTTTTCTGATGTAGAAATTCAAGAAAAGTGAGAAATGCCCCTAGGCTGAAGTTCTAAGCTCCATAACTCAACTTATATTTATCGGATTTTTAAGTGGCATACCTCTAAATGTTTCTGAAGCAATTCTCTAAATATCTGCATTCAAATTTAGAAATTTAATTTTTTTTTTTGGTTTTTTTGTAATTTTTTTGATGTTATGATGTAGAAATTCAAGAAAAGTGAGAAATGCCCCTAGGCTAAAGTTCTAAGCTCCATAACTCAACTTGTCTTAATCGGATTTTGAAGTGGCATACCTCTAAATGTTTCTGGCGCAATTCTCTAAAAACCTGCATTCAAATTTGGAAATTTGTTTTTTTTTTTAATTTTTTTTTATACCCGTTACTCGTAGTAAAATGTTTTACTAGTGTTACTCGTTCGTAAAATTTTACGATTACAGGAAGCATATATGTAAAGATCGTAATTCATATGAAAACCTAAACCTATAAAATGTATCAAAATATCCCCTGCTGTTTTACACTCTGAAGTTTTGAAGCTAAGTAAACTTGTGGTCGCCCGTCTCCCCTTAATTAAAATGGGGGGAAGATTTTCAATTATATGTGTGACCTATCAGTGACAACAAATAAACAAGAGGGAAACACGGAGTGAGTGAGCCTGCCACACAGGTCCTTCCTGCATTTGCATATGTGTCATAAAAGCGGGCAACGCATAACTTTCAACCCAAGAACTGGGATCCCCATTTCGGTAGAGGCGTACTCGTATTTTGCCCATTTTTGCCCACTGGCAACGACCCCGCAGCTGGGGCGTTTGTTTTTTATGCCACACCTCGATGCAAATCATTGCCACATCTGAGGCACATGTGGCACGTAACAGACAAACAGACACCGAGACACACAGTCACACAGATACACGGCAACACCGATACACAGATACACAGACACACAGACAGATCGTTGCGACAAGCCCTGGTTGTCGTGGTCGCTGCTGCTGGATTTGTCTGTTTTGTGATTGCTGTCGTCGGCGGCAAGGGGGTCTCCACCGGAGAGACCCAGGGCCCCATCCTCTGCAGCAGCCTAGCCCCAAATCCCTGCCACCATTCATTTCTCCATACTTTGCCGCGACATTCTGTAGGCGCTATGGCGTGCGAAATTGTAAATTTTTCGTCAGATGCGAGTACCCTCCATTCGAATCCTATGTCCATTGCCACACTCAGCGAAAAACCACTGCACTTGTTGCGCTTTTTCAAGACATTAACTAGTTGGGCATATTTCTTTTGGCAGTAAAAACAGTTGTGCTTGCATATATGTGGAGGAGCCAGCTTGTTTTTCTAAGTGTAGGCACACACAGCATTTTTTGCTGGCATCGTTGTTTGGTGTGTATATGCATTATTAAGAATACAGTCAGCTGTCAGCAAGTGAACGTCTGGTGTCCCAATCTCTGTTTGCAGTTGTGCTCCTCCAGCCAGAGATTCCTCCATGGCTTCCATGGTCGCAACCTCAACTCAACTCATCTCAGCTCGACTCAAGTCAAGTCGGCGACTTTGGCCTGGAAGTCGACCCATTTG